CGAATTTCATCGCTTTATTCGAATTTTAAAGCCAGTACCACATAAAATTTGTAAAACTTATGTGTTTCGAATTTCATCGCTATATTCTTATTGTTAAGCCAGTAATGAGCGTTATAATAATTTTCTGAAGGGGACTTTATATGGGGGGTATGGTCAGTTATTAACCGATCCTCATAAAATTTGTTAGGAAGATTTTGGCTCATATGAAATTAATTTTGTCGAATTTCATTGCTATACTCATACTTCTAAAACAAATATGCCCGTTAAAGCTATTTTCCGGGGTTCCACTTGTATGGGGGCTATCCGAAAACGTGGACCGATATTGCTCATTTGGAATACCAAACAAACCTTACCTATAAATAATATTTGTGGAATCTATAGTGCTTTCAACAGACAGATGGAAAGATAGACGGACAGACGGACGAACGGACATGGCTAGATCGTCTTAGAGTTTAATAAGGACCCAGAATATATATACTTTTGTCAGTCTATGACCAATATTTCGATGGTTATAAACGGAATGCCAAAATCAATATACTTTTTTGATGGTGGATATAAAAATGGGCCGCTAAAACACACCGATTACTCACCGGTGTTTCATTGTTTCAACGAGATTGTTCGTGCAGTTCAGAAGTTATGATTTTGCCACGAAAGAAAACGATCGTACAAGCCAATCAATTATGTTTGAAACAAAAAATTAGAGGCATTAATCCGTGAAGATTGTTGTCGTACTCAATAGGAGCTTGGTGCTAAGGTGTTGGTCCATATTTGGTGGAACCAAAAGGCTTCTATTTATTATTAGCTGCTGAAATCTGACCAGACAATCACAGGGAATCTGTACCGAATACAATTATGGACCCCTTGTATTCCGTCTAAACATCCTATTTTATGCAGACAACTCGCGCAATAACGCCATCAATGAAGTACAAATTTCTTATATACTTTTTCCTAAAACTTTGTTGACACATGCGGGCGGGACATGGTTAGAACATCTTAATGACGATATACCACCATCGTTTTTTAAGGCCACCAAACTATATCATATATTAAGGAATATTTTACTTGAAATTTTAATGATTAAATAAATATTGAAAAAATAATGTTATTAACAATAAGAGCAATAAATCGGAGCGTAAGTATCATCATTATATATGGCATACCAATGAGACCAATAACAATGTTTCCCACACTAAATGATTTAAAAAACCTAAATGATTAAGAATCGTCAAAAATATTTATATGTATATATGATAAAATTACAAATTTCTTTAAAGCAAACGTGTGTTTATTTATTTTTAAATAAACTAACAACTTTTTTTATCTAGTACTTCATTTTTTGAAAAATAATTTATCACGTCTGTGACAAACAAAATTAATACACACAATACTAAAGGGATGGGAGAAATCGTGTAACGTATGAGCAATATTAATTATTCATACTATAATATAAACCATACGTTGTGTGGAGTTATACTGCCATCAACATTTTGTTTTTTTTTTGTATTCACATTTATAAAACATGTATGTAGATGATTGTTTGTTATTTTTCTTTTTATATTGCAATTTCAGTTCATAATCATTCCAACACGTGTCCTTAATGTTTACAAAACAACAAATAAACATGAAACATGAAAAGGTAAATTATATCAAAACAATGGCAAAGAGATACAAAAACATAATATTTACTGTTATGTGTACGCGAACACAAGTAAGTAATGACTTTATGAGTGTATTTAAAGGGGGTTCATTTTACGAATTCATTTTCAGATTTAACCGGTAAAGCTCGCATGAACTTAAGGCATGCGCCTTTAGAATTAAAGGACTTATTTTTTGAACATTGTACTAAAAAGCTTTTTTAGTTCAAAAAAATTGTGTAAGGACCTTTAGTTGTAAAAGATAATATTACTTATTCTTATGTATGAGTGTTAATATTGTGTGTATATGAATGTCCTTATTTATGTATTTATTATATCTTCGATTATTTGTTTGTCTAGATATTCGTTTATTTATTTGTTTGTTTATTTATTTGCTTGTTAAAAAGAACTTTTTTCTGTTATTTTTGCTACGATTGATTTTAAGTATTATTTAGCTTAAATAAATACACCTGTTGTTATATATACACACATTAGACAGATTCGCAAAAAAAAAAAAACAATAACAAAACTTCTGACAGAATTATTAAAGATTTGGGTCCAGAAGATATCTGGGTTCTTCAGAAAATTGATTTCAACACACACAGACAGACAGACGGACATGGCTTAATCGACCCCGCTATCTATAAGGATCCAGAATATATACATATGTATACTTTATAGGGTCGGGAAATTATATTGTGGAAATTCTTCCTTCTCACGAACGTGAAGGGTATAAAAAAGTGGTAAATTTTAACCAATTCTGTGATAATTAATCGAATTCTTTCACCAATTTTCATTATCCGATTGAGCCTTATCACTAGTTAATTTTAGATCCAATGGAATAAAATTAGACTCAGCAAAGACACTTTTTCTTCTTCTTCAGGGGCAGGACAGAAAATCAATATCAATAAGTTGTATAAGTTTGGGAAATTTTCTGCTGATTAAGTTTATAGTTCTTGTACAAGTATTTGGTATAATTAAAAACGTAATCACTTAGGGATTCAACTTTGATATGGGCGCTAGGCGAAATAATGGACAGATTTCAACCATTTCGACCTTGGGTAAAAAGTGCGCAAAAATTTACATGCACACAAACGGACGGACATAGCTTAATCGATTCAGAAAGCCGATTGGTATTATCTTAAGGTGGGTGTAAGACCAATATTTTTGTGTGTTACAAACGTCAGCACAAACGCATAATACCATTATAGTGGGGTAGGGTATAATAATTAAACCTAATTTTTTAGATCTTTGAGGGGCTACTTACTGGCCAGCATTCCTCCCACGATAACCTCGAACTGCCAATCGGCTCGAAACACCTAAGCTTTAAACAGGTGAATATATTCAATAGTTCCAGAGATACAGAATTAAAATAACGAAAAACAAGTAAGAGTTCTATATAGAAGGGTATATAACCCTTCACCGTGATGTGTTAAAAAACAGTCAGTACGAATTTTATTACAAATAATCAAAAAATATCAATTGTAAAACGATAAGGTACCAAAACACGAAACACCTAAGCTTTAAACAGGTGAATATATTCAATAGTTCCAGAGATACAGAATTAAAATAACGAAAAACAAGTAAGAGTTCTATATAGAAGGGTATATAACCCTTCACCATGATGTGTTAAAAAACAGTCAGTACGAATTTTATTACAAATAATCAAAAAATATCAATTGTAAAACGATAAGGTACCAAAAAGTCCCCTTTTATGGGTTTTCACTTACTCCGGGCTCCACACGCATAATTTAATATTTCTAGGTTTAATATTATAGAAAATTCAAAAAGTACCTTTTGAAGAACGAAAGAGTACCAAAAAGTCCCCTTTTATGGTTTCTCACTTAATCCAGACTCTACATACTTAATTTCATGTTTCTAGGTTCAATATTATAGAAATTTCAAAAAGCACCTATTGTAGAACGAAAAAGTACAAAAAAGTCCATTTTTATAGGTTCTTACCTAGTCAAGGCCCTACATGTAAAATTTCATGTTTTTATGATCAATATTATGGAAAATTCAAAAAGTACCTTTTGTAGAACGAAAAAGTACCAAAAAGTCCCCTTTTATGTGTTCTGACCTAATCCGGGATCTACGTACTTAATTTCATGTTTCTAGGTTCATTATTATAGAAAATTCAAAAAGTACCTTTTTTAGAACGAAAAAGTACCAAAAAGACCACTGTTATGTGTTCTGACCTAATCCGGGATCTACGTACTTAATTTCATGTTTCTAGGTTCAATATTATAGAAAATGCAAAAAGTACCTTTTGTAGAACGAAAAAGTACCAAAAAGTCCCCTTTTATGTGTTCTGGCCTAGTCCAGGCTCTACATATTTAATTTCATGTTTCTAGCCAATAACAACGTAACGTGATGTTCATTCTTTGCTTTGTGTTTATAAACAAGAATTACAATAACAAATAACAAAAAAAATTACCGTTTGATACTGTGTTTTGTTTTTGTTTGTTTATTGTTTTGTATAAGCATGCACGAAAAAAGTTAATTTTTGAAGAAATTTTCAGAGGTGGTCTTGGATTTTTACTCATATCTTCGTTATTTGTGGGCCGATTGGGCTGATTTTAAATAGCGTTCTATTCGATCGTATTTCCAATAGAATTATTGAAAATTCGGATCTCGCAGATATCTTGGGTCTTCTGAAAACTGATTTCAACATACACACAGACAGACGGACAGGCTGACATGGCTAAATCGACTCCGCTATCTATAAGGATCCAGAAAATTATAAGGTCGGAAAATTATATTATAGAAATTACATACGGAATGACAAACTTATATATACCCTTCTCACGTAGGTGAAGGGTATAATAATAATTTCTCAACCAAAAATTATTAATTTTTATATAAATTATTTTTAACAGAGCATAATCTTAGGCGTTTCTAAACCACTGTGTGGAGCTTATATAAGATTCAGATTCTTATTGAAAACTTTAAATTTTTATATATGTAAATTATTTTTAACAGGGCATAACCTTTGGAGTATATTTAATTAGTACATCAGTTTTATATGGCGCCTAAAAATATACTACATATTTCACAAACAAAAAATGTGCAGTAGTTCTTTTTACGAAAAGTGATTCTGTGTAAATAGCATATTATTAAACCATTCTTCTATGTGGTTTAAGATTTGAATAACTGAGATTTTCTTACTAAAATATTTATTAAAAGAAATGTTTGTCTATTTTATAATTAGTTATATAGAAAATAAACTAAAATTTTTGTAAACATTTAATTGGTTAGGTATTTGAAAATAAATTAAATTTGTTGTTATTAAAAGAAATTAATAAGTTTTATATTTATATATAAATGATACTAAAGCAATAAATAACAAATTAGTTTTCAACTTACCTTTTTTGCAGCATTCCTAAATGTATAGTACTGAATTTTTTTCTTTTTTATCAATTAAAGATTGTTGTTCTCTTTTCAATTAATTTATTTATTTATGATTTTCTTACAATTACATATTATGCATTTTATTTATCTTTTAAATTAAATTTCTCATTACAAACATGTAATTTTCTTCTTTTTCCTTCATATTTATATATTTACTTTATACAACAACAAAAACAAGAACACTTGCTTAAACACTTTAAACTTCAATAGCATTGTTGTAATACACAAGATACACTACATAATAATAAATTCTTCCAAGAATTTCATCACAAAGCTTCCACACATAATTTGACTATTTATTTAACAAATTTCAATAAACTTTAATAAAATGCACAAACTAAAACACTTTGATAAATACTTTTAACCGTATATTTAACATTTTGAAAGAATTTTACTAAGCGTGATAAAACAACAAGCGGCCGCGAATAAAAATGTCAACAACTAAACGAAGGGGTATTGCCAGTAGAGAAATTGTACTGCTTTGCAGTTATAGTATTGCCAAGTGTAATTTTTCAATTGCCATCGATCAGTTATCAATATATAATTGGTTCTTACGTAAAAGTAACCGTTAAAAAAGTATTTGTAAAATATGCGTAAACGATTTAAAAAATAAGCATATACACTATATATGTATATTTATACAAATGATAGCTATATTAAACTTATATTTATTTTTATACCCTCCACCACCATCAGTGGTGATAGAGGGTATATATAAGTTTGTCGTTCCGTGTGTAACACCATGAAATATTCATCTAAGACCCAATAAAGTATATATGTATATTCTGGGTCCTTATGAAATTCTGAGTCGATTTAGCTATATCCGTCTGTCTGCTTAAAACACGCTCACGTTAAAACTAAGCAAAGGAAATCAACCAAATTCACCGAAAATATTTATTATTATCCTAAGCAGTTTGTTATTGAAAATCATCAAAATCCGTTCACAACGTAAAAAGTTATGAGTAAAAATTTCAGACTACCTCGAAAAAAATTACGTTTTTTTTCATAATTCTTTTGAAGTTTTCTCAGAAACTACCAAAGATATTTCGATGAATTTTGTCACACATTTTTTCAGGGCAGTGATCAATTACGTTCAAAATCTTTACATTCGATCCAATATTTCCCATAGCCCCCATACAAAGGTATATATTCCCGGAAATTAGTTTTTCGTTAATAACTCCCTCAAATATATCGCTATCAACACAAAATTTTGCACATGCAAATATAATATGAACAGAAATCATACTATCAACGTAGAACTCAGTCGGTCCACAATTGGTCATAGCTCCCCTATAAGGTCCTCTTCCGAATATCACCTAAGCGCACATATTTCATTGATGAATAAAGTTATTGTAATAAAATTCGTGTTAAATATGTTTTGTGTACATAAAAATTATTCTACCACTTTTTTCTCGGATCGTCCATTATTGGTCATAGCTACCATATAAGGTCCACATATTTAATTGTCAAATAAAGTTATGTTGATAAAATTCGAATTGGTACAGGGCTTTGTCTTATGGTCTTAATTAAGGGGCTAATTAATTAATCTCAAAGTCAAAGGTTACAAAAATTAGTTTTTTTTTCAAATATCTTGCTTATTGTTATTCCTACGATTTCAGATGTTATAACATTTCTATAGACAATTAAATGTTGTACATTTTAGTTAGAGACCATTTTTGCATATAAGAGTTTTTCTTTGGCCTATATGTAGTTCAATGTCTGTCTATCCATAATTTCAAATTTATTTATTTATTGAACTTTCAGAAAAGTAAAAACATAATGGTATGCAATAATGTTGGAAACAACAACTCGGATAGACAGACACTGCACAATGGCTAATAAAGAAACCGACAAAATCGAAATTTTTGCGTGCCTTTTAAATAAAAATGGCTAATTCCTATGTATTTCCATCCGCTGAGTTCAAAAATCGTTATTAAAATTAAATTCGGTTAGCTCTAGTTTTTGAGATATTGCGATTTTTGTACATACATTGTTTACGCCACTTTTTGGAAGTTTTTACTTAATTTTGCAGAACTGGAACTTAATTCCAAAGTTTTTTAACAACATGGAAATCTACACAAAATTATCTTTCCAAAGAGTATAATTATGATGACAGTTATTGCAGTATAACTAGGTTTCCTTGCAAGATGTTGAAAATTTAGCCTTTTTTGTTTTATACTTATAACAATAATTTGGGCTAAATTCACTTGAGTTTTTCCATAAAGTACTACCAACACAAACCAATAATGGTTAAAATTGAAAATTCATTAAAAAAGCAGTGAAATATTTCGGATTGAATTCAACTTTTGTTTTATATTTTACATATTCATGAATTCAAAATATTTCCTACACAATTCACAATCGCTGGCGTAGCGTTGTATGTCGTACGTTTTCGCTATTTTTGTGTCAAAAAAATTTGCCTGCTAAATATTAATGACATATGATGATACAACAATACGATACTTATAGTAAATTGGATAAATGCGATGTCCTTTCTGTTAAAAAATATAGTTGTTGATGTTTGTAAGTGCTTGTCATGATGTTTGTGAGGATCTTAATGCTTTTAAGTACAATTTTCAACTTCGCTGCAGGGCATCCAAGGTATCCTCCAATAACTGTCAGCATGATTATACTCTAATCATAGATAGATTTATGTAGATTACCATGTTGTTAAACAACTCTATCAATATTGGTCCGGTTCTGAGAAATTAAGTAAAAAATACCAAAAAATGTCTTAAATAACGTTTTCATAAAAACTAGAAATTTTCATAACAATTTTTGAGTGGAAATACATAGGAATCAGCGAGTGGAAATACATAGGAATCTGCTATTTTTATTTAAAAGGCATTTTTAGTGTTGTCTAGTGTAATAGAAAGTGTGACATAATTAGTGTCTGCGTTAAAAATATTAAAATTTGAAAATTATATATTATAATTGCATCAAAACGAGTACGACGTGTGATATTCATAAAAAACTGATTCTTGTGACCTTTGACCGCGAATATCTCGCTTAGTGCACATGGTGACCTTTAATACCTTATTAATAATGGTAAGGAGAAGCTATGTGACAATTTTAATTTTGCTATCTAAAATTCCGCAGCAAAGCCGTTATTTTCCTGTGCTATTATAGAAAACTGAATTTCTGAAAGTGGCTGTATGTATATAGGGGCTAAGCTGAAGGTTATTTCAAACAATTCGTTATCTCGAATTGTTTAAAATAAATGTTCTTACTAGTACTCGAGAACTAGTAAGAACATCGTAACGAAATTGCATATGGTTGACATATTTAAATTATGATATAGAGATTTTTAAAATTTACAAATATAAAATTTTAAATAATGTATTTTTCAGCACTACAAATCTTTCTTCTTGCTCCAGAGAAGCCTTAAAAATAGTTTTTAATTAAAAGCGTAAAGAAATATTAACTAAGTATGAACTAGAGATGCGGTTTCTGAATCGCGGCATTAATTCTGGGATTTTCTGAAAACTGTTGCATATAACAAAACTTTCTAGATAATTCTTATAAAGTTAAAATTTATTAAACAAATTGAAAAAATATAATTGAAACTGTAAAATAGAGCTTATTTATTTTTATAACACATTTAAGCTTTATTTATACAAATGTTAAAAAGTTATCTTTGAAACCATAAAAATTTCTGATATAAGAAAAAAAAACTAATCCCGAATCCTGAGATTTTTAAAAATCAGTCCCAATCAGCACCCTAATATAAAGTAGAAATAATCCATGCTTAATTTAAAAAAAAAAATTGTAAATACTTTTTTCGCAATATATACGAAATTTTCGTGTATGATACGAAATATTTTTAAAATTTTACGAAATTATTGTTTTCTAAAATTATTTTGAATTATACTAAAATATTTCGTACAAATTCGTATATACATATATCGAAACAATTTCGTGGTGCAAAACAACGAAGAAATACGACATTTTTTTATATATTTGGCATGGATTATTTTCAGTGTAATGAAAGCTACTTCCCGCTAATCTGTTAGAAAAAATCTTATAAATTTATTATAAACAAACATATTTTGTTTATAATAAATCTTTAGTGTCCCAATGATTAAAATTTATGTTCTCTTTATACTTTTTAATACAGCGCAATTCATTTATGTTTAAGCTTGGACCTTTTATGTTTTTTTTTTTTTTTGAGCCATGGAAACGCATTTTTGTTACACTGACTGGCTCGTTTAATTAATTAGAATAATGATAGAAGTTTTAGTAAATAACACACAATAACATTATTATATAAATATATTTTAAGAACAAACAAAAATTTCCATAGCATAATGAATACCTACAATTTTTTCTAATTAAGTTTAATTGTTATATTTTAACAAAAAAATATCTATTGAGAATGAAACCGTATATTACATTTAAATTAAAAATTAACTCATATCAAAGAACCTATGGATATGTTTTAAAAAAGTTTTTTAATATTGTATTTTTACAAAGTACTATTCGAAAATTTATTGTACTGTAAAGCTATATAATAAATATTTTTATTATTCATCATTATTTTTTTTATAAACCTCTGATAAATAGTTATGTTCTAAAAATGTATTTTAAGCGCTTTAAATATGCGATAAAAAACTCTTAAGATTTAAAAACTATTATTTTTTAACATTGAAAATCTCAAAAAGACTGAAAATGTAATAAAATAATTCATATTTAATTTCATTCTAGAAGAATTATTTTTGAGAATTGATTCATCTCATGGTTTGAAGAACTGGTTTACATTCAGATAACTAATAAATAACAAGAAGCCACATTTGGTCCCTAAAAAACTAATTTCAAACGACATAGATTTCTTCCATTTGTATTCATAGCTTCTAAACTGACATTTTTTATCGGTTTTGCCATAGAGCCCAATACTTAACATTACTACACTGAAAATAATCCATGCTTAACTTTACGAAAAAAAATTTCGTAACTACTTTTTTCGTAATGTATACGAAAATTTCGTGTATAATACGAAATATTGTTTAATCAACCCCTTTTCTAATTTTTTGAAAGCACGAAAACCTGTCGTAATATCTTTTTTCGTATATATTAAGAAACTTTGTTTTCTTATACAAAAATAATTTCGTTAAGGCGTGTAATATTTAACGAAAGTAACGAATTTTTTTCGTACCAAGATTATTTAGTAATATACAAGAATTATTTTTGATTTCACAAAAAAATTATTTTGTTACGATTTTTTTTTTTTTTTTTTGTTATTTTCGTAATTTTAAGGGAGTTAAATTAAACGTAATTTTTAATATACAGGAAATTAGCTGCCTAATTTCCCGTAAAAATTTTTATGTTTTTTAAAAAATATAAAAGATTTGTTTTTTCTTTAATTCGCAATCTTTTTCTAAATTTATAATAACTATTTTAAAAGAACTAAAATATTTATGTCTTTAAAAAAACTCGT